AAGACAAGTCCCTGAAGGAGGGCAGCAGCTCTTTTAGTACTGAAGGTGGCAGAGATCACGAGGATCGGTATGACACTCTGATGCATAATAACGATGTGGAAGGCAACGGGAAACCACCACATTATGATCCCGAGTATACAGTACTACACAAATTAAATGATGGTATCCTCTAGGGTAAAGCACTCCGAACGTAAACTACTCCCCCATTCGGATGTCCGGGCGGGAACTACCTCGGAAGATGTCATCAATAAGTGCAATAGGGGTAGGTGCAATATTTTACGAGTTAATTTAGAAATTCGAAAAAGATTGTTAAAGGTGTATGTTTGGAGCACGGCGCTGTACGGGTGTGAAACATGGACAGTGGGCGGGGCGGAAAAGAAATGTTTAGAAGCATTCGAAATGTGGTGTTACAGGCGAATGATGAGGATACCGTGGATAGAGAAGGTTAGAAATGAAGAGGTGTTAGAAAGAATAGAAAACAGAGGACTGTATGGAAGTCAATAAGGAATAGGCGAGACACCTTCTCAGGAATGAAAGTCTACTCAGAGACATATTAGAGACAGTAAGTTAGGAGGGATAGAGGTAGACCTAAATTAGATTACTGTTCGCAAGTAGTTAACGATATGGATTGTTCTAGTTTTAGGGAAATGCGAAAATTAACTCAGGATAGGAAAGAGTGGAGGTGCGTGTCCAACCACTCTTAGGACTGTCTACCTTATGATGATGAAAATAAATAAATAAAATTCGTTACCTTGCACTTTTCTGCAACTTTGCAAAAGTTTGCAGGACCATCATATCTCGGGTAAACCACTTTGATAAATCCAAGAAAAATGTTTGCAACAGTTAAACCGACTTGTGTGATCCAATACAGGGATGACAAGAATAGTACCCTATCCCCTTTGGAGCTGAAAATAAACGTTTAGCTACAGTTAGGTATAAGTTGTACAGCAATTTAGAATTGCTCAATCATGTTTCAGGGTACAATTTTTTTAATTAATGAAATTCCCTAGGTGATATTTGCTAGATTTAGGTACATACTATGTAGGTAGATCAGGAATTTATTTTATGTAAATATATGTTTACTCAAAGTCAACTACACTAAATAGGATTCTTAGTCATGGAATAGTTTATCTACTTATATTAATACCATAGAAATAAAATAAAGGGGTGAGCGTGGATTAGAATACACGCGTATGAAGTGTAACTTTTTTAGATTGCATATTATAGTAGTATTTAATGAAAATGGCTTAAACGATTGCATTAAATAATTACTAAACACCAGAAAAATAAAACTTTATTTCGAGCAGACGAACGCGGAATATTGGTTTAGTTTTATTAAAAACTTTTATGCAAGCACCATACAACACTGCAGAGAGGAATTACAAATCAAACCAAATACAAACGCATATTTGCAATACAGTACAGCGTAGGCGTGATCTGCTGACAATGTGTTGAAATGGCAATTTTCAGATTATCGGTTGCTATTAACAGATTAGCCTCTGAAGCTTTTAAAATGTCTCCTTTTGGACATGTCCACCAGGGGTCACACGTGACGTGACGCTTGGTAAAGTGCCATGGTAAAATTCCTTCCTACCGTCGATAAAGAAGTTCCACTTTAATAAAAACGTACCATGTTAACAATCTATTGTTGAATTTAATAATGAAGACAGAAGAGGAATTAAAGATTATCTTTCGAATATTACTGCTTCAGATTTTGGCCTAAATGATTCAAGGAGACTACCTAAACACATGGACTAGAGCAGTCGAACTCGAAATCGAACCGATGACTTTCCAATTTCAATTCAATTTCAATTCCATTTTTTCCAACATTTGCTAAATGTCTATACCACGCCGCTCAGTCAAATTTGTACAACAAATAAAACCTTTGGGTGTTTTAGTCTAATAGGCTAATACTGATAAATGGGCAGTAGTTCCGGCCTACACTGTGATGTAAGGCCCTCTTCAGCCTTCTTTTAGTAATCGTGGGAATGCGTGGATGCTGGTTGGGGAGAGAAAGACGAGACGTGTATAGTAGTAATCATTGTTGATTGATTACTGCTCAAGCATTTGTCTAGGTGATATAAAGAAGCCACAGAAATTTTTGGACAAGGGCAGTCAGACCCGCAAACGAATCGTTGTCCTTCCAAATGTTAAGCAGTAGTTTAAACTTCTAGACAGCGCCGCTTGTTTTTTTTGTAAAAAAAAATATATGGGTGCTTCTTTCGTACTAGCAAGTGATGCTGGTGAGCGGGTAGTCCCTTCGGGTCAACCTTAAGAGTAGGGACCATCTAGAGCTTCTCTTTAGGAATCGTTAGAATGGATGGGTGGTGCTTGAAAAGAGAATAATGGAACGAACGAAATGAAGGCAGAAAAGAAGTGAAAGATTATTTGTGGAATATTATCACTGGCATTTGCGTAAGTATTGTGATTCAGGGTAATTATAGAAACACTTGGAGCAGGACTGACGGACCTAGAATTGAATGCTAAGCAAATACGGAATTGAATACTAAGCAATGGTCAAAATTTCTAGGCTCCAGGCAAGCGGTCGGCAATTGGCTTGTTAATACAAGTTTGGATGAAGTCAAGAGTAGTGGTAATGGAGTAATTAAGAGTACCGACCTCATAGAGAAAACCAGTAATGCAGCTTGATAGGCGAGAATAAATAAAACATTAAAAATATAATAATTACAGTAGGAATATCCCATAATAAATTAAAGTTCTAAGCTTTCTACGTTTATTTATAAAAAGTGCGGGACGAATGGTCATATGATTTACGCGTGTGTGACTAAAATGCGCTTCACAGGAATACATATATTTTCATGGTGAAATTCAAACTCTTTCAGGGTATACTATATCGATCAGTAGTGATTGGGTATAATTTGTTTTTTATATAAATAAATAATTTTTCATGACTTTGTTACTTACTACAATGACGACTGGGCAATGTTGACAAGGAAACTATGGTTTATGCAAATTCCTTTTGGTTTACCAGTGGTTCCACTGCTGAAAAGAATCATAGCAGTGTCTTTCCAATTTATGGCATCGTGTGGCTCAAATGATTCTTCCCCATCGATTGGAGCTAAATAATTTTCGAAAGATTCATAATCGTTGGAAGGGCCGAGCACAATAATTTTTGATTCCAAATTGCTCGCCTTAAGACTCTTAACAATTAAATCAACTGAATCTGAACCGACAAAAATAGCTTTCGGTTTCAGCATTTGAAGAAAATATTTGCAATCATCTACTGAGAATGTGGGGTCAATTGTTGACGGGATAACTCCAGTAAAAAATGATGCTATTAATGGTACTGCACTATTTAATGTATTAAATGTACAAATAGTTATTTTGTCTTGAGGTATAAAACCCTTTTTTCGCATATGTAACGCTGTTCTTGTGCACCTCGTTAGAAAATTGTTGAATTTATCTTCTTCTTGTGTGATACCGTCAATCTGAAACAATAAAATGTACTCAGATAAAAGTAAAGTACGTTAAATTTAACTGTAGCTAAACCGAAAAAATAAATAAAAAACATTTTCATATCCTGACACTAAATTTACTAAGAGAACCTCGGCAGTTAACCTGTCGTTCATCATAAGGTCGTCAGTTCTAAGAGTGTTTGGACACTATTTGCGAACAGTAATCTAATCTAGGTCTATCCCTACCCCTTTTAACTCCCGTCTCTGCCTCTAATATGTCTCTGACTAGACCCTCATGCTTGAGAAGATGTCCTAAGAACCTACCTCGCCTATTTCTTATTGACTTCCATATAGTCCTCTGCTCTCCTATTCTTTCTAATATCTCTTCATTTCTAGCCTTCTCTATCCACTGTATCTTCACCATTCACCTTATTGAAATATAACCGATGTAAAAAGATAAAGACAATAAATTACATTCATCTTCTTTTGACCATTGGTCTCACAAATAGATCACAGTCACATCCTCATCCATCTCCAGTTTCATAATTAAACTGGAGACTGGCATCTCTATTTCTCTATCTGTTAGCGTCACGCATGCTATACTTCATTTACTTTCTCTAGCTATGTGCAAAAGCTCATTATACTCTCGACTGTTGTTCATTAAACATCCTTTTGCATACAGTACCTGCCAAAAGTTTTGTTCAATCATGAATAGTAGTGCGAGTCGAAAACAAGCGTTAAAGCCTTTATTATGTCTTTAAATATAAATAAACATCTCGTTGATACTCTTAGTAGTAAATGGTACCAATAACAGCACATTTGAGCAATGCATAAATGGATAAAATGGTCAACTTTTCTGTGCAGTACTGTACTGATTATACACTCCTCACCGGTTAAGAGTTTGGTCGAGAGCTGTCTCCTTCCTTTTCTGGCCTAGTGCTGTTCTTTTCTACTTTGCGCCGATCAAACTGAAGGTCACATCGCTACAGAAACTAAACGAAGTATACAATGTATTGGTTTACACGAAGGAGTAAAATTAAGGCAAATGCTAAACATATGATTATCATCATCCGTCATTTTGTGTTTTTTGTTGACTCTTTATATATGTTAAGGTCAAAGTCCGTTAATGATAGCGGCTAACAGTTGTATTAAAATAGGGAGCAAGCTTTGTTTGAAAAATTTTTCGATTAAACTTATAGTTTGACCGCAATTAGCGTATTGCATACTTTTTGAACCATTCTGTATATGATAGTCATCACTCGTTGTCCAATTTAAAGTGCACGGTGTTAATTTCAGTTTTCTTAATTAATTTCTGGTGAGTGGCTTACAAAAATTACGACAAAACACGATATGTTGAAATGTTTTATTCAAATAATTAAAACAATTCCTATGTAGCATAAGAAAAATACTCCGAGTTATCCAAGTTGTTGTTAGTTGTTACGTATATGAATTCAAACGTCGAAATTTATCCACCCTGTTCAAAGTTCGCCTAGCCTCCCCCAGGCTTCAACAGATATCTATTTTCTATTTATAATCTATAATCCATAGCAAGGTTATACTTAAAGAGCGAACAACGTTCGTACATGACGTCATTATCAGGGACATACTTAGGACATTTGTGCATCTTGTGACACATTTATGTAGAAAAATGGCAGGGAAATTGCCATTTTATACGTTTCCCAAGTATAATAGTAAGGTATAAAAATGTATTCATTAATTATTATTTAGGTATTTAATTTTTTGTTAACTTCTGTCAGGGTATTATATTAATGCTCTCCACATTAATTATTATTTAACATAGTTACTTACTCCTTTGCGCCTCTGTCTGCAATCCATGACTTGCAGCTACTTCTTTTATAATTTTTTCGTAAGGTCGCATGATTATCATTTCAATTTTCGTCAATTGTTCTTCAGAGTTGCAAATTTGGGTTATTGTTTGAGGAAATAACATTGTATTATGTTTAATAGCAATAAACAATATTTATCTTTAGCTTACGTACTTGTTTTTAAAAACAAAAATACGTTTCCTTGTGGGTCAATATTGTTATACATTCTTTTATGTAATATTGCGAAAATTGTTGATTAAGATCAGCAAGTAAGCATTAACTATGGAAAACAGATAAACTCTGATAATATGATTATTTACGTTGTTGTGTATAGAACCTATTTGTTGTATATATTTTATTATGTTTGTTTAGTAGT